GAAGAGGTGAAACACACCAGCACTCATCGCACTGTCCAAGTGACCACGTGTTGAGCTCAATTTCTATTCTCGTAACGCGTTCTATATTTGGAATAACTATGTGTAGTTGTTTGACTTATATCTATCATTGCTGTGGACGCGAACTTTCTATTGCTACTGTTTCTCACGTTGATGGATCAATTAATGAAATACGGCTACTTATTTAATTATTAGAATTAGTTACATCTTCATGTAAATTACTGCATCACGTAAGAAAACAAATAAACACTCGAAATTGCTTAATATTCATAGAAATTTATAGTGATACATTTATAAGCATGTAAGATGAGTAGCTTACTACTGGTGTTTTATTAGCGAGCGTTAACGTTAGCAGGCAATTTGTATTCTCGTAAAAGCGGACGTCGTGAAACGTGTACACGCATGTAATTACACGATATATATTTGTCATGTCGCTGTGAGAAAAATCCTCTTCAATGGGAAGCGTTGGACCGCCGCCAAAATTGTAATCGCTTTATTTCACCTCCTTTAACGCGAGACGATTCTTGGCTCGGCTTGTAAAAACCACTCATTCTCAGAAAGCACACGTTTTCGTTCCACTTTCACGCAATCGAATATTCGACTGACCGTGTTAAATACATTTGTAAAATTAAGAACACTCGTGCGATATTAACAGGAACCATATATCTCCATAAAACGTGTGTATAAATATAAACAGTTTCACATTTCAAGTTTCATATAGTGATAGCTTGTAAGAATAAAAAGAAAGTCAAAATAAAAATCTCTCTATCTATATATACTCTGATAGCTAGTCAGATTTTTATTATGATATTATTCAAGATAATGTATATGTCCTTGAAAAAATCAACTTGAAAAGCTAAACTTAAAAAGTAACAGAAATATACAAATATATAGTTTTAAATTTAAATTAAATTTCTGCACGTCAGAGAAATAGTTTATTATTATAATTATAATAACGATATGCATTATTGTAGATAATAAATTTCAGTCACTATCTTGGAAATTGCTATACGATACAAAATGATATTAAATCAGATATTGCAGCATGTTTCAAAATGATTGATTTTAATCTTAGATAAAGGTCAAAGTATAAATATCGCCAGTTATCATTGTTGAATATTTCCAAATTTGATGAAATGATTCTGTAAAACACAGATAACAACGTGTATTATATATGACAAACTACATTCACAAACACGCTTTTGTTTAATAAATATTTTATGAAAACGAGAAAATGTTCAAACAACTGATTAGCGAAACTGAAACTGTTCTTATCTGTGCCCTTGTTTAAGCTAGTCGACATATTGTGTTCATAGATAAATATATCCTCGTGTTATTCTTCTTTAATTGTCTCTCCACTCGCAGACGAGACGATGCACGCCTAATTTGGACAAAAGCAAAGACCATACAGCAGCAGGGATTATTATGACCACACCCATTGTTTGCTATCATCCGATCGAAATTTTCACTTTCACTTCCACGTTTTTTCCCCATGAAAGTGAAAATTCATTTCAAGATAATTTCAAAATACTTGTCTGACGCTCAGAAATTTAATTCGAATTTAAAGAAGAAAAATTTCATTTTTCTCTTTCTTCATAGGATATCTTCCTTTATTCTAAAATAGAAAATTACATCATTATAAATATAATATAACAGGACCCTACTCGACTCTCCCCTTTTTACTGATCACTTTTTGTTCACATAATGCAAATAATTACTTGAACCAGTAAGAGTTCGTTTCATCAAGTGTTGATTAAAATTTGGTTCAAACAAAACATGGAGTTCATGTAAATGATATGATGTTCGTTAATTGAAACAAACAGAAGAATTGAACACGACTTGCTTCACTTACCTTGAACAGTAAGTTGTGTAAGTTAACACAACTAGACGAGTGAAGATATGGATTATTATTGGAAGTCGTACAAATTCAAGTTTCCATAGGCGAAGGGTCTTGAAGTTACCAGATACGAGCCTACTGCCTTTCTTTCTTCGTCTGCGAAGTCCCTCGTCCCCTCGTCCTACTCGAGAAGGATGCCTCGCGCACAGTATCCAGCCATTCATCCGGTAGTTTTTGCCTGTCGACTTAACGAACGTGCACTCCGTTCCAGTTTCATTCAACCCGATTTTTTGCCACGACGACAATCGTCCGCCGATTACGAGGCTGCATGGAATGAATGGCAGCGAGGTGTGTATTAGACCCAAGCTGGCGATGAAGTCAAAAATCACTGAGATCTGGAAATAATTTCTCTTCTTCATTTGGAGTGTATTATATCAATGACAATGAAGTTCCATACTTATTCACATTTATCACCTTTGTTATTGTATTATATTTTATATATTGCGATATATATTAAACTTATGCGTAAAAAGAGATTAGATTTATTTATAAAATATCTAGAGATAAATGGATAATTGTTTTTACTATTCTAGAGTTTCCAAGATACTTATATAATGAAAGTTTGAATGTGGCTTCGTTTAAATTTTTC